ATATCCCCCCTTATGTATTATACATGGCGATCATATCCCCCTTATGTATTATACAGGTAGATCATATCCCCCTTATGTATTATACATGGAGATCATATCCCCCCTTATGTATTATACATGGCGATCATATCCCCCCTTATGTATTATACATGGAGATCATATCCCCCCTTATGTATTATACATGGAGATCATACCCCCCCTTATGTATTATACATGGTGACCATATCCCCCCTTATGTATTACACATGGAGATCATATCCCCCCTTATGTATTATACATGGAGATCATATCCCCCCTTATGTATTATACATGGTGATCATATCCCCCCCTTATGTATTATACATGGAGATCATATCCCCCCTTATGTATTATACATGGTGATTATATCCCCCCTTATGTATTATACATGGAGATCATATCCCCCCTTATGTATTATACATGGTGATCATACCCCCCCTAATGTATTATACATGGAGATCATATCCCCCCTTATGTATTATACATGGAGATCATATCCCCCCTTATATATTATACATGGAGATCATATCCCCCCTTATGTATTATACATGGTGATCGTGTCCCCCCTTATGTATTATACATGGTGATCATATCCCCCCTAATGTATTATACATGGAGATCATATCCCCCCCCTTATGTATTATACATGGTGTTCATATCCCCCCTTAATCTCCTCTTCTCAAGAGAGAATACATTCAGTTCCTCTAATCTTTCCTCATAGCTGATCTCCTCCATGCCTCTTATCAGTTTGGTTGCCCTTCTCTGTACTTTCTCCAGTTCCCCAATGTTCTTTTTGTGAATTGGTACCCAAAACTGAACTGCATATTCCAGATGAGGTATAACTAATGATTTGTACCGGGGGAATGATATCTCTCTCTCTGGAGTATATACCTCTCCTAATACAAGAGAGGATTTTGCTCGCTTTAGAACCCACAGCTTGGAATTGCATGCCATTATTAAGCTTGTGATCTACCAGAACCCCCAGATCCTTCTCCGCCATTGATTCCCCCAGTTGTACCCCCCCTAGTATGTATGATGCATATTCTTAGCCCCCAAGTGCAGAACCTTACATTTATCAACATTAAACCTCATTTGCCACATAGTTGCCCAATTACACAGAGCACTGAGGTCGGCTTGTAAATTGGAGACATCCTGTAAGGACATTATTTCCCGGCACAGCTTGGTGTCATCTGCAAAGACTGAAATGGGATTTTTAATCCCAGACCCGATATCGTTTATAAATATATTAAAAAGTAAGGGTCCCAACACTGAACCTTGGGGTCCCCCACTGATAAACACTGAACCTTGGGGTACCCCACTAATAACACTGAACCTTGGGGTACACCACTGACACCCCTAGACCATTCAGACAATGAATCATTAACCACTACTCTCTCAATACGGTCTTTTAGCCAGTTTTCTAACCATTTACATACGGATTTTTCCAAGCCTGTAGACTTTACCTTACACATGGCATTCATTTGTATTTTTCTCCAGCCTTTTATTAAGTGTATCTATGGTCAATATCCCATATTCATTTCCACATTGTATTTCAGTTATTTCTAGTCTACTCCTATTAAGCTGAACTATCTTGAAGTTTGTAAACTTGTGAAGATCCCACATATGTATTTCCTTGAAATAAGTGACCCTTAGTTACTATGCCCTGTGAGTAGCACTGCTGTGTCACACATTTCACAGAGCCCGCCTTCTGAACTAAAGAGGTGCTGAGATGAGTGGTCATCTCATTAACTACAATGGGCAAACAATCCAAGCTATGCTCAAAGCTTCCTTCACTCCCAGCTAAGGGACAGCTGGTAGCCAAACTAAAGAATTCCACCATGCCCTACCCTTCAGAGCTACACCCAATCACTATAATGTCACATGAGTGGTAACACGGTAATGCAATTTCAAATCCTTTTAAATCTTTAGTTTTCAATGCAAGTGTACTTGGTGATCCTGTTATGAAATGGTAACAGTTGTCTACCAAATTTTCTTCACCCTGTCACAACATCCTCTGTTTGAAAGACTACATTCGGTCATGGCATGGTCCATGGACTATAAGGAAGCCAGTCTTGAGCGATGATGTGCAACTGATACTGGAGTCAGAGGAAATAGGCAAGAAATGGTGAAAAGAGACTAAAAATGATATTATTATTATACAGTATTTATATAGCGCCAAAAAGTTTGCTCAGAGCTGTACATTATAGTGGGGGACATTACATGAGACAGTACAGTAACAATACAATACACGATGGGTTCGAGGGCCCTGCTCCTTGGAGCTTACAATCTAGGAGGGAGGGGATAGTGGTACAGGAGGAAATGGCTGTGGGGATGGGAGTGGTAGGAGGAGATTGGCTGTTAGGTGAGGACGGGGTAGGCATCCCTGAAGAGATGGGTTTTCAGGGTGCGCCTAAAGGTGAGGAGGGTAGATGACAGTCTGATGGATTGGGGTAGTGAGTTCTAGAGGATGGGGGAAGACCTGGAGAAATCCTGGAGTCAGGATATGAACAGCACTTGACTGGTCCTTATTTGCAGGGACTGTTAATGTTTTGGCAGCAGGTCTATCTCTTCTCCCCAGTTGTCCCTGTTGCTTCCATATAGAGAGCTCAATAAAAAAAAAGTGTTAGGTAACTACCAAAATTAAAATAATATACGTTTCCTCCCGATACTGGTTTCCTCCAACACTCAAAAGACATGCTGTGTCATGGTCAGAGGTCAGGCTCGGAGACCAGTAGCTATAGCAGTAGAGAGACTCCCACCGATCAGCAGGATATGTACAGAAACAGTTCACCCTGGCGGATGACGTGGGCTCACCCAAGGTGCGGAGTCTAAGCACTAACCGGTATTCACCAGAGCTCCTGATGGTGGAGATGGGTTTTGTTGCGTGTTAGTACCAGGTCGTGGTCCTCAGGATGGCCCCACTAGGAGGTCAGTAAGTCCGAGTCCAGTAGCAGATATAGCGGGTAGGGATCAAGCAGAAGCATAGTCAATAAACAAGCCAAAGGTCAAGAACAAGTGGTTGCAGGTTGGGATCAAGTGGAAGCATAGTCAAGGAACAAGCCAAAGGTCAATAACAAGTGGTTGCAGGTTGGGATCAAGTGGAAGCATAGTCAAGGAACAAGCTAAAGGTCGGTAGTGGAGATAAGGACAGCTGTAGGTACACAAAGGAGCAAGTTGTTGGCTGGAGGGAGTCTGGCAAACAGGAAGTACAAAGGCATGGCTTAAATAAGAAGTTCATGGTAGGAGCAAAGGGTTCAAGGTTCAGGAGAAACAAGACCCAAGTGAAGGTTGTCTACGGAGTCAGGCAGGGTGCTCTCAAGCATCCCCGGTTGGTTGCACAGCTAGAAGAGCTGGGCTTGGCTGAGGTTATGGGTTCAGATCCCAGTCCTGACTTGTTGGTAGGTTATTTGGCTCCCATCTAAATTGGCCATAGTAAGTGAGATAGAGACCGATGTGAATGTCCCATTTGGAAGGCGTTGCATAATTTGTCGGCACTACATAAATACCTGTAATAAAATAAATAAATAACATACACTAGAGCACACTTGTCAAACAAAAAGCCTGCAGGCCAAGTCCATCCTGGCAGGCCATTTCATGTAGCCCTTGCACTTCTGCAGGAGCTACAGCAGTGTGCACGCTTCCTGTCAGCCTGTCATTGATGTGTACATGCTTCCTGTCAGCCTGTCATTGATGTGTACACACTTCCTGTCATTGATGTGTACACACTTTCTGTCAGCCTGTCATTGATGTGTGCACACTTCCTGTAAGCCTGTCATTGACGTGCGCACGCTTCCTGTCAGCCTGTCCTTGACGTGCGCACGCTTCCTGTCAGCCTGTCATTGACGTGCGCACGCTTCCTGTCAGCCTGTCATTGACGTGCGCACGCTTCCTGTCAGCCTGTCATTGACGTGCGCACGCTTCCTGTCAGCCTGTCATTGACGTGTGCCCACTTCCTGTCAGGCTGTCATTGACGTGTGCACACTTCCTGTCAGCCTGTCATTGACGTGTGCACACTTCCTGTCAGCCTGTCATTGACGTTTGCCCACTTCCTGTCAGCCTGTCATTGACGTGTGCCCACTTCCTGTCAGCCTGTCATTGACGTGTGCCCACTTCCTGTCAGCCTGTCATTGACGTGTGCACACTTCCTGTCAGCCTGTCATTGACGTGTACACACTTCCTGTCAGCCTGTCATCGGAAACATCCACCACAGATCTACGCCAATCCTGGTAGTGTACGACCTTAAATGCTCGTGTACATAAAAATAGAAATCTTTTGTACAACCTCAAAATTATTGAATTTTTTGTAGACAGCCAATAAGACAAAAAGTAGTGGTGGAATAAAAGAAGTTTTGGGCTTTACTAATCTTTTTGTGTATTATTTCTTTATGGTCCATCTAAGTGGGGGATGTAGGCATGGTGTGCTCTTTACTTTTATGCTATCTACAAAATGAACCTTAGATGGTAAGCTCTGTAAAGTATTGATGGGCCGGATCCCCCCCCCCCTGTTCAATTCACGGTTGAACATTCGAACCTAACAAAAGTTTGACCACGAACTTCGAACAGAGGGGACAACTCACTATGCAGTATCTCTGAGTATGCAGTAAGACCGCACAGCTACTAAAATATACTGCATGAGTTATATTATTAAGTCATGCGGTATTATAGTAGCGAAACATTCTTTCATGTTTCAGCTGTCAGTGGGCTTCCACACTGACAGCGGAATGTAAAATGAATTGCCGGCATTGCCTGGCAATTAAATTTAAAAAAAAAAATGTATGGGATCCCCCATTCATACCAAACCCTTCAGGACTGGTATGGATTTTGAGGGGAACCCCCATGCCAAAACTTTCTAAAAAAATGGTGTGGGGGGTCCACTCCAAAATCCGTACCAGACCCTTATCCAAGCATGCAGCCTGGCAGGTAAGGAAAGGGAGGGGCAAGTCCCCCCCCCCCAAACCATACCGGGCCACATGTCTTCATCATGGGGGGGGTGCTTTGGGGCAGGGCAGCAGGGGCGGACTGACCATTTGGAAGCTCGGACACTGCCCGAGGGCCCGGGGTCAGTAGGGGGCCTCATGAGATGCCCCTGGTACCTTTTTCATAGGCTTTTTTGAGTTTGGGCAAGGACACAGGGGCCCCATGATCCCCTATTGCTCGGGGCCCCATGAGTTGTCAGTCTGCCCCTGCAGGAGAGCACCTCCTCTCAAAGCACCTTGTTCCATGTTGATAGGGACAAGGGCCTCTTCCCCGCTGGTGGTTGTGGGGGTCTGCGGGCAAGGGGCTTATCGGAATCTGGAAGCCAGGGGCCCCCAGATCCCCCCCTTGTAAATGAGTATGGGGTACATGGTGTTGCTACTCATTCACAAAAAAAAATTGTAGTGTAAAAATGACAAAACAGACTTTGACAAGTCCTTTATTAAAAACAAAAAAGAAAATGTCCCCCAAAGTAGATCCAACATTAATCGTGATGTCCCCCCCACCACCGCCGACCCGAAAAAAAAAAAAAAGAAAAACGCTCCACTCTTGACGCTGGCTCCCACCATCTGACAGCTGCGCCCGGATGACAGTTCTTAAATACTTTGACGAGGTCACAAGAGGGCGGGGTCACCCCGCCCCCTTTTGATGTCAGCATGCGCTGTGATTGGTTGAAGCATTGCACCTGACCTGTGGACAGGTGCATTGCTTTGGCCAATCACAATGCACTGCCAGGATGCAGTGTATTGTGGGGTGCGGGGGAAGGACAGCCGACCAAACTCCCTTACCATTCGTGTGTTTGCCAAACATGAATGGGCGATGTTCGATTCGAAATTATGTTCGACTCCAACATCATGCCCAACACTACTGTAGAGGCAGGGACTGAGGTGATAAATCCACAAGTATGTACAGGGGCATAGCTAAGGAGAAGATACAGGAGTCCAAACTCCCCCCAGGGCGCCTGAGGCACCGTAGCTAGCTCTAATAGTCACTCTTCACCTGAAGTACTGCAACTGCCACTTCTTCTACCTGCCAGAATTCAAAGACATGGACAGAGCATCTCCTTCTCTCCTGCTCAGCTCCAGCCACATGAAAAAGCCCAGGGAGAGCTTGCCTTCACTCTTAAATGCCTGGAGGGGTGAGTGGATTTCATGGAGAGGGTAAAGTTGTACTGTGGAGGGAAGGGGGGCTGTACTGGGGGGAGGGGAAACTGTACTTGGAGGCGAATCTGTACTGGGGGAAATCTATACTGGGGGAGATCTGTACTTTGTGGGGGGATCTGTAATGGAGGGGGTATCTTTATTAGTGGGAGGGGGGAGATCTGTACTGTGGGGAGGATCTGTACTGGGAGGGATATTTGTACTGGGGGAGATCTGTACAAGGGGGGGTAGCTCTATACAGGGGGAGATCTGTACTGGGAGGAGGATATCTTTACTAGTTGGTGGTGGAAGAGCTGTACTGTGGGGAGAATCTGTACAGAGGAAGATCTGTGCTAGAGTGAGTTCCATACAAGGGGAGATCAGGGGCGGACTGACCATTTGGAAACTCGGGCACTGCCCTAGGGCCCGGGGTCAGTAGGGGGCCCATGAGATGCCCCTGGTACCTTTTTCATAGGTACTTTTTTGAGTTTGGGCAAGGACACAGGGGCCTCATGATCCCCTATTGCCCGGGGGCCCCATGAGTTGTCAGTCCGCCCCCTGGGGGGGAGATATATACGGGGGGGATCTGTGCCGGGGGAGCTGTAATGGGGGGGGGGGATCTGTGCTGGAGGATTTTAGATTTGGGAGCTTTCCTTCACTATTAAATGCCTGGACTGGTGGGTTGATTTCATGGAGAGGCGAGAGCTGTACTGTGGGGAGGATCTGTACAGGGGCAGATCTGTACTAGAGTGAGTCCCATACAGGGGGAGATACATACGGGGGGGGGGGAGATCTGTGCTGGGGGAGCTGTAATGGGGGGAGATCTGTGCTGGGGGATTTTGGATTTGGGAGCTTTCCTCCACTATTAAATGCCTGGACTGGTGAGTTGATTTCATGGAGATGCGAGAGCTGTACTGTGGGGGGGGGGGGATCTGTACTGGGGGAAATCTGTATGGGGTGAAGATCTGTACTGGAGGGAGGGTATCTTTACTAGTGGGAGGGAGGAGATCTGGGGAGGGTCTGTACTGGGGGAAAATTGTACTGGAAGGAGATCTGTACTGGGAGGATGGTATCATACTAGTGGAAGGGGGGAAATCTGTACTGTGTGGAGGATCTGTACTGGGAGGCAGATCTGTACTGGGAGAATGGTATCATACTAGTGGAAGGGGGGAAATCTGTACTGTGGGGAGGATCTGTACTGGGAGGATGGTATCATACTAGTGGAAGGGGGGAAATCTGTACTGTGGGGAGGATCTGTACTGGGAGGATGGTATCATACTAGTGGAAGGGGGGAAATCTGTACTGTGGGGAGGATCTGTACTGGGAGGATGGTATCATACTAGTGGAAGGGGGGAAATCTGTACTGTGGGGAGGATCTGTACTGGGAGGATGGTATCATACTAGTAGAAGGGGGGAAATCTGTACTGTGGGGAGGATCTGTACTGGGAGGCAGATCTGTACGGGGGGAGATCTGTACTAAGGGGAGCGCTATGCAGGGGGAGATCTGTACTGGGGTGCGTTCTATATAGGGAGAGATCCATACTGGAGGGCCGGGGGGGAGATCTGTGCTGGGTGGAAATCTGTACTGGGGGAATTTCAGCTTGGGGATCTTCCCTTCACTCTTAAATACATGATGCCGTGACTGGTGAGTGGATATCATGGAGAGGGGAGAGCTGTACTGTGGGGGAAGGGGGAAGCAGATTTTGCATTATATTTGTGTGGCTATACACTATGGGTTCAATGCTTTCATTAGACTTCACAGATATACTGCAGTTTGATGTAAAAAATGTTTTATAATGAGTTTCTGAATCTGTAATGGCAGTTTTCAGAGTTCCTTATATCAAAGCTGGAAAGTAGCAGATAATTTAATGTGTTGCAGCTAGATCCTACACCACGCATTAATTGTATGTTCTGGAAACTGCAATCATTATCGGAGCGCTCAGCCTCAGAATGGAATGCTCATTTATTTTTAATCCAGATGAAATAACCACATCAGAAACACTAAAAAGATATATTTCATAATGAGGAATCTCAGAATGTAAAGCAGGACATCTCTGCTTGGCTTCTCAGTAGCCGCAAACAGATCAAATTTTTTTTATCCTTCCTCACGCAGCCACAGGTTTAATAATTGGTCGGCCTCTATTATAAAGAGGAAGCATGATGATATCTGATCAATTTTTATGTTTTAATTTTCATAACCGTAACTTGGTAATCCTCTACTAGCAAGAGTGGCTGTGTAAAAGTTTATAAAACAGATGTTCCATTTTTCATTACTGTATCAAAGTTTTATTTTACAAAAAACATGTAAATGCTAAAGAGAAAGCCTAGCACTTATTATTTTTTTAAAAGTATTTTTTTATTATTATTTTTTTTTAATCACTGCATAAAATATAAATTTTAGAAATAAACATTTCAATGTTTTTGTGAGATTGCTTCTGCAGACTGAAAATCAACATGTTCCCCTCTCTGCAGCAGGAAAATGTGTGTGTGTGTGTGTGTGTGAGGGGGGGGGGCAAAATTTAAAAAAATCAAACTTCGTCATAAATTTAGGCCAAAATGTATTCTGCTCCGTGTCTTTGCTAGAAAAAAATCCCATGCGTGTAAATGAATTGGTTTACATGAAAGTTATAGAGTTTACAAATGTATATCCACTGGAATTTTTTGTTTTTACTAGTTGTGGCGGTGATCAGCAACTTATACTGGGACTGCGGCGGGCATTCTGACACTGGGGGGGAACTGACTTGGTGTCACTTAACATGTGGGGCGATCAAAGGGTTAATTGTGTGTTGTGTGTGTTTTACTATGTGGGCTGGGCTGTGCTTTCCACTGTAAGCACACTGCTTTGTATGGCTGTGCTATGCAGAGCCATACAAAGCAGTGTGCAGGAGCTAACAGGAGAGAGATCTGTATTGTTTACATACAGGTCAGTAATACTCAGCAATCACTGATGGTGACTGACAGACAAAGCCATGAATGGCGGTGCGGGTAGGGCTAGTGTGCGCCCCCTACCCGAAAAAGCAAAACCACATATATATATACGTGATTTTGCGCACCCCTGCTGCCCGGTAGCAGTATTTCTGCCATAGGGCGGCGGGAAAGCGGTGATTTGATAACATGGAGACATGGCAACACTTATTGAATGCAGTGAAGTCTGATTTCCAGTGATAGATCCTTAAAGCCTCCATGGATTAGTAATGTACAGCCGGTGGAACTCATACTGTATACCCTCACGTCAGTCAGATCCAAGGAGCGTAGAATACAGGGCTGCCTTTGTGCTTATTGCCACATCTTTAATCTCTCCCTCTCTTCCGGTGCATTCCCCTCCCTTCTGAAGCATGCACACATCACCCCCCATACTTAAAAAGCCCTCTCTGGACCCCAATGACCCGAACAACCTCAGACCCATCTCCCTGCTCCCATTCACATCCAAACTCCTCGAACGCTTAGTCTACACTCGCCTAAGCTCTCAGCTCAACGACAACAACCTCCTCGATCCCCTACAGTCCGGCTTCCGTCCCCTACATTCCAGCAAAAGCGCCTTACTCAAACTGTCCAACGACCAGAGCTAATGGCCACTATTCAGTGCTCCTACTCCTTGACCTCTCCGCAGCCTTCGACACAGTCGACCACCCCCTTCCTCTTCAAAAAACTACACTCCCTCGGTCTCTCCGAGACTCCGCTCTCTCCTGGCTCTCATCCTACCTGTCACAACGCTCTTTCAGCGTTACCTATAACGCTACCACCTCCCCCTCACTCACCCTCTCTGTTGGGGTCCCTCAAGGCTCATCCTCGGGCCCCTTCTCCCATCAACACCTCCTCCCTTGGCCAGCTCATACACTCTCATGGCTTCAACTATCACCTCTATGCCGATGACACACAAATCTATCTCTCAACCCCCACCTCACCCCCCTCGGTCTCTGCCCGAATCACAGACCTACTGAGCGACATATCAGACTGGATGTCGCTCCACTTCCTTAAACTGAACCTCTCCAAAACCGAGCTCCTAGTCTTCCCCCCAGCCCGGACACCACCCCCCATTGACTTCTCCATCCC